CTTGTGTTCCTGATCGAAGATTATTGGCTTGGGTGTTGTACCCCGTTTTTCTGGTAATCCTATTATTACTTCATTTTTATCTAATGACACCCTGTTCTCTGGATCACGGCTCCGTGACTATCCATAACAATTAAGATGAACATTCAGATCGAGTACATGAATGAGTTTGTTTTGACGCCCTAGTCAATCAAAGACCAATGCTGTGCGGTTTGATTACACGCTACTACCAGGTCGAACATCGTGGATCTATATTTTCTACCTGAGGAGAATCATAGTTCATATGCTAATCCATCTCCGAAAACCGTCCCGCAGTGAAAACTTTCTTTTGCCCGGTAGTTTATATATAAATACCTACTGACAATGTCTGCGAAAGAAGTACTTTTCTAAAAACATTAGCTTCCACGTTGACACGGCTGTCAAGTCGTCTGTTTCAGTCACATGTGGTTATTGTGATTTGACCAAAAACCGAATCGATTAATTTCGACATTCATGATAAAATGAACATTATACGGCCATTTGTGGTATTATCGTCCATGTGGTATCTTATATGGCAAAAAATATTATTATTTTATGTTATACCGAGAGAGTTATATATATATATGTTTGTATTGTTTTGACTGGTGATTCATTCAATTACTTTATTACCTTTATAAATATTATCAAGATGGATCCAGGAAGAGTTATTACTCGATTGAAATCATGTCGCAGTGTAATGAGCAATTCCCTCAATGTGGACAAACGTTTTCTGCATTTAAAACTACCATTGTAAATTGTCCTAAAAATAACAAGTTCAATTTATTATTATTGTTGTTGTTATTGTTTTGTTTTTTATTCCGCCGATTGTAGCGACAAAAACAACTTATTAATGAGTAGACCGATGCTGTTCAAATTGTTGATATGTATGTAGATAGTTGAGCACCAGAAACCACAAAAAACAAGGTCATAGGCCCAATGTCAAAGGGCAGATCATTCAGTAACCGTTCACTTTTAAAGACATTTTTTTGCCCTATTGTTCCGCACCTTCTTGTCAAGTCTGTTATTTCCGGTGCTGGACATTTCATGTTATTTGATTCAAGATTTTACTTTGATTGGGGTACATGTCTTCCAAATCCTACCCCTCTGAACCTGCAAAATCAATTGTCTCCATACATAACATATGACTCAAAAGAAGTTAAAGAACACCCGCTTTTTTCATGTGAGTATACATAAAGTTTATCTGGCATGGTAAGGTAATTTAAGATCGCGAAAACCTCGCGAATAGATCCAGGGATTACTGTAGATATAGAGGATGGGCCATGGGGATTAACTAAACTAAGCTGCAAAAGAAAGTAAATGTTGGCAATTTGTAATTTTCCTAAAAACAGCGATAACTAGTGGAAAGTCGGTATTGGGACTGCCCAGGAACAGGTACCAAAAAACACCTCACCCGAACGCGCCACCTTTGACGTGCGGTAACAAGAAATGGTGAAACAGGTTTGCCGCCTATGGCATAAACTGCACGAGCATGTTAGCTGTATAAATGCGTTCGTCTGCAGGGTATAACCACACGTGATGAAAGCACACAAAAGAAATGCCACGACTGTCACAGGAGCAGAGAGAGAGAGCCATCGGCATGTCCGAAATGTGGGCAACACAGGTCCAAATCGCCAGAAGGTTTGGTTGTGCACCATTGACAGTAGCCAGCACTCCTAGTGCTGTTTACTTATGAAAGTCGGTTTAACTTGTTTCGAAATGACGGCAGAGAACGAGTTTATCGACGCAGAGGGGAACGTTTGGCTCCGGCGTGTATTCGAGAGGTCCATCCATTCGGCGGGGGACGTGTCATGGTGTGGGGCGGTATTTGTGGAGATCAGAAGACTGATTTGGTGATTATACAGGGAAACCATAACGCTGTGCAGTACAGAGACCAAGTGTTGCAGCCAGTTGTGCTTCCGTTCTTACAAAACCGACAGCAGGGGACATTGTTTCAATACAACAATGCCAGGCCCCATGCTGCAAGACTGACTCGGAACTTTCTAAACCAGCAGAACGTTGACGTTTTGCCCTGGCCTGCCCACTCACCCGATATGAATCCTATTGAACATCTGTGGGACCATCTTGGCAGACAGATTAGAGCACGCCATCAGCCTCCCGTCAAAAGACAAGAATTGCAGCAGGCCCTGAGAGACGAGTGGCAACGGATTCCAGTCCACGTCATCAGAAGACTGACGTCACCCATGAGGCGGCGTATCACAGCATGCATTGAGGCAGCTGGAGGTCATACACTATATTGAAGGCAGCTTTGTCGACAATAAACTTGTAGTGTGTCTGACAATTTTTTGGTGACATTTCAGACAACTTTTGAAAATGAAATTTCTCACCCCACCCTTTGTTTACCTTGAGCTTACATTACCTATGATGCACAATTTCATTCAAACTGTGCTTGATCAATCATTTGTTACCCCTCACTAGGTTATATTATAATTCACAACAAAACCTCTTCTTGTTTTTGTTTTTTTTCGATCATGGAACTCGACCTATACTTTCTCTTGCTGCCCAGTTTATATTCATTTGAACAATTCGGGTTTTTTAAACTTCTTTTGGGTAGTCAATCATTATTATTATTAGTAGTAGTAGTAGTAGTAGTAGTAGTAGTAGTAGTAGTATTTATGTATTATTCATATCCAGTGTGCAAGTAATAAAACATATGTTTGCCCATTTTTTTACACGATTCGACATTTTCATAATTAATTGCGGGAAAATGTTTATTCAAATATCACAATTCCTACGCGAATTCTGATTGGCTAGCGCTGTTCCAATCAAACCGTGATATGTAACCATTGAAAAAAACGCGAGAACGCGAGATTGCGACACTTGACTAATGTCAGGATCTCGAGTTCTCGCGTTCTCATGTTTTCGTGTCAATTGCCTAGGCAGTTATATGTAAATATTTTTAAAAACACGTGAACGCGAGATCGCGACACTTGACCAATGTCGCGATCTGGCGTTCTCCTGCTTTCGTCCAAATTGGGGGCGGTCGGGTAGCCTAGTGGTTAAAGCGTTCGCTCGTCACGCCGAAGACCCGGGTTCGATTCCCGACATGGGTACAATGTGTGAAGCCCATTTCTGGTGTTCCCCGCCGTGATGTTGCTCGAATATTGCTAAAAGCGGCGTAAAACCATACTCACTCACTAACTCACTCACTCGTCCAAATTGCCTATACAGTTATAAATAACTATGTTTGAAAACGCGAGATCGCGACACTTGACCAATGTCGCGATCTCGCATTCTCGTGCTTTTGTGTCAATTGCCTATATAGTTATGTGCAACTATTTTCAAAAACGCGAGAACGCGAGTTTGCGACACTTGACCATTGTCGCGATCTCGCGTTCTCGTGCTTTTGTGTGAATTGCCTATACAGTCATATTTAGCTATTTTCAAAAACGCGAGAACGCGGGATTGCGACACTTGACCAATGTCGCGATCTTTCAATCTCGCGTTCTCGTGCTTTTGTGTCAATTGCCTATACAGTTAATGCAACTATTTTCATAAACACGAGAACCGGCGAGATTGCGACACTTCTTCAATGTCGCAATCTCACAATCTCGCGTTCTCCTGCTTTTGTGTCAATTGCCTATACAGTTATATGCAACTATCATAAAAAAAACGCGAGAACGCGAGAACGCGAGATTGCGAAACTTGACCAATGTCGCGATCTCGCGTTCTCGTGCTTTTGTGCCAATTACCCCTCTAGTCATCTAGTGGCTCAGTCGTCTGAGTTGCGTTCCTTGGGTGTGCCAGAAACCTGTGATGGTGGGTTTCGTCCCATTTCAAGCTGACAAGCCAGATTATAAGTGAAATATAAATACTGTTCAAAGCGGTGTTAAGCCAAACTCACTCACTTATTCAGAGCCATGCCGGTCCCTCAGGCTGGATATCGGGGGTACTTTTCCAGTATAAGCTAAATCTCGCGTTCTCGCAATCTCGCATTCTCGTGTTTTTGGTATATTTAGCTCGTTTCCAAAGGTCGAGATCGCGAGAATGCGAGATCGTGAGAATGTCCCTTACAGTAGTCCATAGTTTCGCGTGAACTACCATCGTGTTTCCCCACCCTGTCAGTAAAAGTACTGTAATCGATACACAAATAACTTTGATGCGGTGTCAGTGTGGAATGAGTTTGAATCACGTCTGTCACTGGCCACAGAAATTCTTAAGGTATCGTAACATTCTAGAAGGCCACTGCCGTTCAAATAACCTAGTTATGCATGCAACTCTCGTCAACAAAGGCTGTCAGTCTGTCTGCTTCAGCTACCATACCATCCATCTGTCACAGCTGTCGTTTACCTGTCTTTTTCAAAACATTATTTGGAAAAACGTCGTTATCATACTGATGTCAGTTATACAAACATTCTGCGTAGTCCCCTGTAGCTACGAAAAGGTTTTATAGACATTCTGCACAGCCCCCGCGTATCTACGCAAAACTTTTACAAACATTCCGCGGAAATTTTGCGAAATAAAGTAAAAGACTTTGCCTTCTAGAGTACAGCGTTGAAGACTGGTGTGGGTTACGGACCTTTCCATACAAAGTAAACACATGTTAGTTGTCACGTGTTAATTAAATTAAGTTCAAGGATCATTACCGCGATATTGACACATAAAAGAGAAATGTAATCAATTAATATCCCCATACAAGTCAAGGTAAAAACGTCCCACCTAACCACAAGTCCCTATTCGCGAACACAATGCCGTTGGTTGTTTCACAGTTATCAAACAATAGCGACACATTTAACTACCGTGTGAACAATACGCCTTGATCATATAGCGCTAATTGCCCGTGCTTACAATATGTGATGATAACGCTCCGCACTGAAAAGGACTAATGGTAACTATAGCCTCGCCTAGTTACCATGGTAATGCCAACCTGCATCAGTCGTGTATCGGCATGCCAGCCAATCCAAAATCACTTTACATATACGTCATAAAAAGCACAAGGTGTATTTCGTTCGCATCCACCAATCAGGTTGTAGCTTACAACGCGTCGCGGTAGTGTCAGGTGGTCTGACGGGTAGGACGATCAATACCATGCTCATTCTATAAGTGAATCACTTGGGATCTGTACTCCACTAAGGATTGACCTGCACATATTTGTAAGTACAAAACATGCATCTAGCATTTCATTTTTGTATAAGATACACATTTTCACAAATTACGACAAGGTGATATTTCTCAAATCACAATGTCATTAATAATATAAAATGTATGTTACAAACAGGCCAGCTCTGTGTAAACCGTCTGTAGGCGGGTTCTGTCGCCACTTTATTGAACGTCAAAATGGGTCACTCTCAATCCTGAATTATTCAAGTAGGACAGTGTATTGTGTAACAGTTAGCGTTCAAAGCGGGTTTCCCGGTTGTGCGGAGCAACATATTGTGTTTTTACTGGAATAATGTAGCTTCAATGACGCTTGGATACCCGGCCAAATATGTTGCTTGGAGACCCGACAATCACCCGTTCAACCATATATATCATACCTCTCTGTCAGATTCCTTGTCTTAAATATGACTCAGTTTAATAAATGGTAACACTTTGATCAAATGGTATCCGCCTCAGTGACCAAGCATAGTGACAGAGCCCGAAGGGGGGACTGTGGTGACAGTGTTGTTTACTCCGTCCGGTTACCGAGGTGATGCCGGGATAAATTAGGTCACCCAGCAGTCTCCCACCACACACCCACACCCCTACCGTGACCCCCATACCCCCATCTACCCCTTTAATTCATAATAGATTAAAATGGGAGTCGCGTGGTTACAACGAGTGTTGTGTTTCATAATAGCAACCAGCGTTTTGCCGGAATACCGGCCGGCGGGATATAAATACACCGTTAAAACATAATCATCCATGCATGTCAGTTCCAATTACTTCCCGGGGTTATTTAGATGCGGCATCTGAGGGTGGGTCAGATATCTTTCCTTGCCCTATTGGATACACCCACGACTGCAGTGTTGCAAAATACCTCATCGGATGTCGCTTCCCGATTTCGTGTTATTTTTGACCCCTCGTTATTGCGAAACGCTCAAACCCTGTGTCAATAGCGGTGGGCTTCGAAAGCTCTGAACGGAGAAACAGCCGGTTGTTGGAAGCGACAGGCCGTCGATGTCATTTGACATTGGTAATGTTCTAGATACACGCTTTGCAAGCATGCAAAAGGGAACTGCAGTGCACTCACATAATTAATAGCTGTTTAAGCGGTTCAAGTATGTCAAAGATAACAGTCTTTTCATCTATACACACACACACACACACACACACACACACACACACACACACACACACACACACACACACACACGCAGTTCCAAAGGCATTTTTAACCGTAGCGCGGATTTTTATTAATAGTTCGGACACGTCGAAACACACCTGGCTGATCGTGAGCCATCGTAGTGATCAGCTCCTGTTTTGCCATCACCAAGCCACTTACTCATATGCTTGCTCCTTCATCAGGTGATGGTTATACTCGTTGATGAAGATCACTGCATCGTCTCTATGTTGATGTCGTATCAAGTCAAGTCTTTGAAAGGCATTTAGAAGTGATAAATGTGTAATCATATACTCCAAAACATTGTGTTCTTCATAATAAGTTTACATCCATAGATCCTCTCTCTCACATGTATCACCTTTAAATGCCATTAAAACTTGAAGACATTATTATGCATTAAATCATTCACGTATCCATCTTTATATTAACAGTCAATTCATTGTATAAATGTTATGTAGTTTTATGCAACATACCCTTATGATCGAACGGCGTAAGTGTGATACTAAATAATAATAAATTAACATAGAGATGGTAAAATTATTCCCAGAGTTGTATTGGTTTTATTACTTCATATATGCTTCATATAAGCCATTGTTGTTCTGTTAGTAACTGAACTGGAAGCAGCCATAGTCCCAAACTGATATGTACAATATATGAGGCGTGATGTTGTTGGGAACAGATGTTAGTTTATTTACCAATGTATGATACCGTACTCTCCATAATATGGAAACCAACAGTACAAGCTCCGAACAATGGTGCTTTCTATATTAGGCCAGTCGAACTTAATGCGAGTCGAGCGTAATTACGATGGAAATTGAAACAGAATCATTATTCAAACTCATAAATTAATTCATTTGTATAAAGCGGTTATATTGAGAGGCAAGCGGTCACATACACAATCTGTCAATGAATTCTAATAGTTTTGAGGCTTCTTATATAGCGCTGATCGCGTCATACTCGTGTATGCTCAAAGCGCGTACCTTTATCAATGGATCAGTGTGGACTCGATTTGTCTTTGTCGGAAGGGCTGAGGGTGGTCATGTGGGTTGCAGAGAGGGCTTGGGGTAGTTGATCACGAGGGTAGATAATGGGGATCAAAATACTGAGCAAGACCACTGTATAACAAAGGGGAGTTTGGGCACTTTTTTCACGGACGGACGAATAAATAAAATAGCGTATTGAATGCTCTTCTCAGGACGTTAAGTGTTACCACCGCGCCGTGTTACGCCAATCTCTATTTCTGTCGTGTAGATGTTACAAATGGGTAAAGGTCTTGTCTATACTTGCCCAGTCTCGTTCCCCCCCCCCCCCCCCCCCCCCCCCGCACTCGGATAAACCGACCCGTGAAGATTCCTATTCTATAGGTCTTCAGCAACACGCGTGCCGTGAGAGGCGACTATGCTTGCCGTAAGAGGCGACTAACTGGATCGGGGGTTCAGGAATGCTGACTTGATTGATGCATGTCATCGTATCTCAATTGCGTAGATCGCTGCTCATCATCTCAATCACTGGATTGTCTGGTCCATTATTTACAGACCGCCTTGATATAGCTGGGATACTGCCGAGAGATGCGTTACACAACAAAGAATACTAAGATAATTAACCTAGCAGGAATCTTACACTTCAGAAATCTATGGATATACGTTCCCCTTTGAATGTATGGATAATAGGGTATCCTGGAGTACAGTGACGAGGTGTTGTGCACCCGTGCGTGCGTGTGCGTGCCCACTCAGGGATCACGAAAATGAACTTGACGCATTATAATTCTTATTTAACAAATTAAAATGGATGCGATTTCATTTTTACAATGTCATGCCTGGTATTACATATTTATTACGTGCTCGTTCTTGAATGCGTGTCAAAAGTGCCATGACAATCATTTCTCGAGACTGAGAGCACGGTTCTGCAAACCAGGCAAAGATTTGTTGTTATTTCTTGATATTTGACGTACTACGTTATGATAAATGTGACAGTGGGGTTGCCCTGGGGTTAAAGCGTCCTCTCGCCCCACCTTAAACCAGGCTTCGTTTCCCAACATGGGTACAATATGTGAAAGTTTTATTTGGTGTCAAACAATACCCACTCACTCTGACATATTAAACCTTACCTGTCGGCAAGAGCAAGATAAATTACCCCTCATTGGATTTGGTTTCCGACCGCCACCTTGAAGTGACCCATTGTGATCCGGGTTAGATATTAGTCTTCAGCAACCCATGCTTGTCGTAAACTACTAATGGCATCGGGTGGTCGGGCTCGCTGATTGGGTTCATGCATGTCATCGTAACCCAACTGCGTAGATCGGTGCTTATGTCAATCACTGGATTATATATAGACCGCCGTTACGTAAATGGAATGGTGCTGTACTCGGCGTCAAATAAACAAACAAAACAACATTGAAGTCGCGTTTTACCATTTACATACTGTTGCTATATCTGAACCGAGTTGCACCGACATCATTTCACTCTGGGTGAATATGGAGGATAAACTGACTTATTCCACATGATGTGTGATTTTATCAGAAATGAAAGTCCGAAGTAACGAGGTTCCGTTGTAGCTGAGATATCCCCATCGTCGGTACTTCCCCGGTCTGGATAGACAACGTTCCTCATCACAGTAAAAACATACGCCCGCTTTGTGTAGTCGGTATTAAACTTTGAACTTTGTACACAGCATGTCGTGGTCGTATGTTTGGTTTGGTTTGGTTTGTTGTTTAACGCCGCACTCAGCAATATTCCAGCTATACGACGGCGGTCCGTAAATAATCGAGTCTGGACCAGACAATCCAGTGGTTGACATCATGAGTGAATATCCACGCAATTGGGATCGATGACATGTATCAACCAAGTCAGCGAGCTTGACCACCCGATCCCGTTAGTCGCCTTTTACGACAAGCATAATCGCGTTTTACGGCAAGTATGGGTTGCTGAAGACCTATTCTACCCCGGGATCTTCACGGGTCTGGTCGTATGTAGTCATGGTGGATGAAGGAACGCAGTGTATATACACCCATGAAATATTGATGATGTCAAATACCAATCAGCGAAGAGTTTTCAATTTCCTAAATTCCCAAATTAATGCGTATCGGCCCATATTACATTGTTACAGCAATTACGGCCGTTTGTCTGCAAGGGAGAAGATGACTTGTAAAATATTTATCAGGAATATAAATATTACGTAGGTTATCATAGGCCATACATGTCAATAAGGAAATGGTATTTGTTTTCGATGTATCCACAGGAACACATGTCGCATAGTCTGAGGCTTCTTGGCTTATTCTCATATCTACTCGTTTCTATATACAGTTGGGGGGCGGTCGGGTAGCCTAGTGGTTAAAGCGTTCGCTCGTCACGCCAAAGCCCCGGGTTCGATTCCCGACATGGGTACAATGTGTGAAGCCCATTTCTGGTGTCCCCCGTCGTGATATTGCTGGAATATTGCTAAAAGCGGTGTAAAACCATACTCACTCACTCACTATATACAGTTGGTGTGAGTTACACCTAAATTGAGCCAAAGCAATACGGAATGTCTTAATATTGAGAACGCGCGTGTGCTGTGCGCTCTCACAAGTATAGGGGACACTAGAACATAAAGTTGAGAATATAAATCACAGAGTTGATGGCGACAGTTCCAGTATTTATTCTTGAGCAGATGTGATCAAGATACATTCAATACACAATTTCAAGTTATTACAATAATAAAGATGTACATAAGATATTATATAATATTACAGTTTTACATTTAATCAACATAGAGTGGATAATTGATTGTTGGGGGAATTAGCATGCTAGAGTTGACAATGGCGGGAAGATGACTGGCTATAGTTGACATCAT